CCAGTTGCAGCTTAAGTTTCAAGGAGCCACTGTGATGGATTCATAATTTATAGGATTTTGCATAAGTTTCTGGTTGGTCCTTGTTGCGCGATTTTCACATGTTGTGCAATAGTCTAGAAAAAAGTTTCTTGTTCAACCTTTCTACAAGCGCGCACATAATTAGTTGCCTAAATGAGCTTGGCGGAGATTCAGTTTTGTTTTCTAGTCTGTTAGCGTTTAAGCTTGTAGTATATATAGGTTGCCCTTGGAAACAAGCAACAATATATAATGGAAAGTAATTTTTTGTCTGGACATTGTATAACGTCGTACGCACTGATCCTTAACCCGTCAAGGCAAGCAAGGTATCATAAGCAAGGGACAGTAAAGAGTATGTGTGACCTTTGATACTGGTTACTACAAAATACATGCATGGATATCTGTTCCATGTCTAAAACGTTTAGTTGAGCCCAATGATATCATGCTGCATAAGTCTATGTGCCAAAACGGAAAAAAATTATCTACACGATGCTTACACCATATGGTTTCACTTCACCAAGCCATTATGGTCAGCAGTTAGCTCTCTTATCCCTTGGTGTCAAAGGGTGACATCCTTTCTCATCTTGCGTAGAAACTTGTTTTATTCTCACGGGAGAAAGACTCTCTCCAGCTGCAAGGTTACAGAGACTTGTGAAGTGATGAAAAGATTGTGTATGGTTATTCTCAAGTAGACTATTATAACTGCACTAAATTTTTAATATATATCTAGTCTATAACTAAAACTAATGAATAAAGATAAATATAAATGACGATATAAAAATAAATATAGAAAGACTTCTAATAGGAAATGGCATCTACTGATGATGCTCCAATAAAGGTTTTGCAGTTGGGCCAACTGCAGTTTGGTTGTCCGCCATCTGTCTATTTACAGTAAATTCAATTAAAACATCAAAAGGGAAAATTTATATTTCCATTCTATTTTCATGTCTATGAAGAACATATATAGAAATCTTTAATGATAGAGGGGAGCGGAAATAGAAGTTGTTTGAAATTGGAGAAATAAATTTAAGGCACTACTTATTTTCTGCCTACTTTGTCATTGCACATAATATTAATGTGTCAGAAAATAATAAAAATATTATTATAACTATATCAAATATTTTACAATTTTGTTAGTACTACTCCTTTCATTTTAATTTAAATATTTTATTTTTCTTTTCCGTCCGTAACATTCATTTATATTTAATAAGTTTTTACAATTCTAACATCTTATACGATAAATTACATATAAAATTTAAAAAATTATATACATCTTTATTTAAGAATTCAAAAATCTATATCGGTGATCCAAGTTACGCCAAAGATCAGATGCAGTGCTGGTATCCTACCACTCTTTTTTGCACGGAAGAAGTATTTTCTTGGAGAAAAATTGCAAGGTAAGAATATTTATCATCATTTGTATTATGGTATTTTATTGTAATTTTATTACACGTATAACTACAGAATACAACCCACAAAAGCCCCCGAAAGGGTGAAAGGGGGGGGGGGCGTTTAGTCGACTAGGGTTCACCACTTATATATGAAGACAAAAACAAACCTTACCATCAATTTTTCTCTCTCTACGCCAGCCAGGTGTTAGCGTTTCGAGGAGGAGGAGAAGAAGACATCAAAGCACTTCTCCTTGAATCAGTTTGAGAGATTTCTAACCCTCTCTCTTTTTCGTAGATCAATTCATCCTCAATCACCGGGCTTTGATTGGGCTCTTTCGGATCGGAGGAAAAGCGAATCGGATCAATTATAGCAAGGATCGACGATGTTCTTGGTAGATTGGTTCTATGGAATTCTGGCAACCCTGGGATTATGGCAGAAGGAGGCTAAGATCTTGTTTTTGGGCCTCGATAATGCCGGCAAAACCACCTTGCTCCATATGTTGAAAGATGAGGTCTCTCACCGTTTTTGCCCCCTTTTCTGTTGTCGTTTCCCCTATTAGATATGTACAATTTGTGCCGTTTTAATTTTAATTTACATATCTAGATGTGATTTTATGTATGATAATCAATCTTCTTTGTTGTCTTGGTGAACGGTAAAGAAACGGAGGACATATGTAATTAGTTGATTTTTGTTTTTTCTGAATTGAGCTTCATCTGGTTTTCTGAATTTTCCAATCTTCACCTGAAATTGAATTTTCCGATGTGGATTTTCTTTTACTAGGAAAGAGTTGGCAGTTTGATTAGTTTGAAAAGACCTGTTTTCTGCTATTGGTTACTTGTAATCTTGAATCTGAGATTGAGGGTTATTTAATTGTGGCAGAGATTGGTTCAACATCAGCCAACACAATACCCGACCTCAGAGGAGCTTAGTATTGGAAAGATCAAGTTCAAAGCGTTTGACTTGGGTGGTCATCAGATTGCTCGCCGTGTTTGGAAAGATTATTATGCTAAGGTATGTGTGTTTTAGTTTCTCTTCTTGTCTTGGTTTAGAATTCTGACTTGCAAATGGTGTACTCCTTGTTTCTTAGGTCGGTCTTTATTGGTTGATACCTGGTTGGATTCTGTTGAGCAGTGGTTCTCCTTGGTTCTATACTTGCAAAGCTATCCTTTTTAGAGGAATAGCCATTAGTTTTTGCGTGTTCAGATTTATGTGGTGATTGCATGCTCAATAAGATTTCATGGGATAACACGGTCTTATAGCCTATTTGGCCAAGCTTATAAAATATGCTTATTTTTGGAAGTGCTTTTCGAAAAAATACTTTTAAAGAGTAGCTGTTTGTGTTTGGATAATTAATTTGAAATGCACTTTTGCCAATATTAGAACAACAATTTTTCCTTGGTCAAGGATCCAATAGTGCTTCTAGGTAAAAGCTACTTTTTTTTTTTGGTCTTCTGCTATTACTCAAAAGTGTTTTTTTTTTTTCCTAAAAGCTTGTGGCCAAACAATTCAACTCACTAAAATAAGCACTTTTGACTTCCCAAAAGTTTGGCCCAACAGGCTATTAAATTGAAAAGTTGATTGTGATTTTATCATCCTATCCTACTAATGCTGGAGATTAGTTCGGTGTAAAAACAAATGATAAATTATTTACTGGAGACAGAATTCTATCAAGTGGCTTACAGGTTGTTATTGCTAATCTCGTTTATGCACTCTCATCAACTGCTCTTTTGTTTCCAGGGAAGTAGTCTAGTCACTGTCCAATCTTCACTCCTGATTTCTCATTTTCGGGGATTTTGAAATGCTTAAGATGCTGTTACCAAAAATTCTGATGTCAATATTTATATCTGCATGTTTTAAGAAATTCTCTAATATTCTTGACAAAAAAACAATTGAGCTAATATTAAATTTAAATTCAGGTTATACAGAAACTTCAGTAGTTACTTTGATATTCCTGTATTATTGCAAGTATAATCTGTAAGGCAACTTTTAATCTTTTTCCCTAGGCAGTAATTAAGTGCCTTCATAATCCCAAATAAACTTCTCTCTGTTTATTTGATTCATGGGAGGCATATATTGATATTGGGAGTTCGCTGATAGCACCTTTCTTTTTTTTCCAGGGGGTGTTTCAATAGTACCTCTCCATACATACAAATTTATCTTCGTTGTTACATAACCTTCTTTTGAGAAATTCTTTAGAATTTATATTGAACATATAGGTATATTGATCCCTTGTTTTTAAAACTTTTTGCTATCTTTTGATGACTGGCTGCAGCCATTTCTTCTGCAATGAGGAGAGTGGACATTGCATGTTTAAGGAAGTTCCGGTGCCAAATAAGACATGAACAATTACGCTCTTCTGCTTTCTTATGATTATCCAGTATCCTTCAAAATGACTGCTTAAGATCTTTTATCCATCTCCGAGCAAGTCAACTCTATTTCTTGTTACATTTGCTGTGATAAAATTTTCACTAATTGTTCCCATTGTTATTGGTTCAATTCTCTGAAATAGACTCTTTATTTCTCAAGGTAAAGGTAAGGTCTACGTACATCACTACCTTCCCAAACCCCACTTGTGGGATTACACTGGGTATGCTGTTGGTGTTGACATTGAATTTTCTATGGATCTAATTTATTTTTGGTGAACATTAATATGAAAGGGAAACTATGTAATTGCAGATTAGCTGTCTGATATAGCAACAATTTTTATGTGAGATAGCCAAGTATATACTATTTCACTTGTCTTGGTGTACTTTTGAAGCTTGTCCAACGAGCATCTTTAATTATGATGTTCAACGGCAACAGATGAGAGGGAGTCACAGATGCAAATCCTTTGTTAATGACCAATGTTTATATTTTGTTTCCTGAAACTGGATTTCGTCGGACCTGATCTAAGTTAGTGCTTCGACTTTGGAAAGCAGTTGCCTGCAAAATCTAGAATTAGAAAATGGAATTTTGCTCATGTATCTTCTCTATGAAGTACCAAGTGCTATTTAATTATTTTCGGTTGTTGTGCTTATTGTAACATGGGCATTTTTCTGAAGGTGGATGCTGTTGTATACTTGGTGGATTCCTATGACAAAGAAAGGTTTGCAGAGTCTAAGAAAGAGCTGGATGCTCTCCTCTCTGATGAGTCCTTGGCCACTGTTCCCTTTCTTATATTGGGTAACAAGATAGACATCCCTTATGCTGCCTCAGAAGATGAACTGCGTTACCATTTGGGGCTAACAGGTGTCACCACTGGCAAGGGGAAGGTAAACCTGGCAAACTCCAATGTCCGTCCACTTGAGGTGTTCATGTGCAGCATAGTCCGCAAAATGGGTTATGGAGAAGGCTTTAGGTGGATGTCTCAGTACATCAAATAATGTGGTCTAGGAAGTGAGATTTGTTATTGTGTTTTAAGTCTTATTTTTGTACTGGATAAGTTGAAGATGTCTGTTTATCTCTATGGGCTGAATAGTTTCTGTTTTTCCCCCAGGTTTTCAGTGGAACAGTAAAAAACAGTGTTCTATGATATATGTCTTAGTCAACATTTTTCTTTTCATTCATACTTGTTATTCCCTCTTTTCCATTTTTGCTCCTTCAAGTGTTCTTATTGGATATTACAACAACATACGAATCAAACTCGGGACCTCTCGCACCCAAAGCGAGAATCATACCACTAGACCAAATGCCCTGCTAGTAACTTGCAGCCAAATGAGCACAAAAATCCATTTGTTGTGTTAATTTGTTACAGCATATACTCTACAACCAGTGCAGCTTTCTGCCTATAGATACAAAAGTTTAACAAAGTTTATTTGTCTGTATTGGGTTGGGAATAAGTAGTTAATCCTATATCCAGTTCTCATCACAAGTTATTCGTTGTGGATCTCCGGTACTTTCTGAGGTTGTAAATGTTTCCAGTTTAACTCCTTTACCCTCTGCTGGAAAGTGTCTGTTTCTCTGTCTATTGATATTATGTTTACAGGTTAGATATGTCTTGTTTTGGTTATTATATTCTTTATTCTTGCTATTGTTCTCTTTTTCCTTTAATTTTAATATGTCTTTCTTCACTACTATATTTTGTTATTTAAAACCAAAAATGTAGAGCACCCCGCATCTCCATTCTTCTCAAAAGGGAAGAACCGAGAGAAAATACCCATTTCTACACTTATCAAAAGAAGAAAAGAAACCCCATTTGATCTTTATTTAGTCTATCTTTTTTACTCTTCGTTATTACATCAATTGAAGAGAATTACAGCAAACAAGAAACGGGAGATGGAACCAAGAGTTGGTGATTTGTAGACCTAGCACATTTCTTCCAACCAATGTCTCCAGTATGTAAAATTACTGCCATAACCCACAAAATACTATCAGCAATCCAAGCCCTCTTTAAAAAAGGAATGAGACAAAACAGTTAAAATCATAAATTTGCAAAGACCAGAAAAAGGCTCAACCAAGTTATAGTTCCAGAGCCAAGACCATATAGAGCTCTTTTTAACTTTAAACTTGCATCATATGTCTGAACTGACCGCTGGGCTCTTTCGAGTTCAATTCACTTTCATGCATTCAAAGTCCAAAGAAGGTCAAAAATCCCTTCAATATGTTTCTTTTTCCTTGAGGATTATTGTGTTCATTGATATCGTTGCAGAAAAGGAGATCAATTAGAAAGAGCTTTCCATAGAAATGAGTCGGGGACCATATCTTGATGCATAGACACCCAAAAATCCAGGATGCAGCTAAGGACTAGCCACATCATGAAGTCAACAAATGATCAAACAACCGCGCTCTGTCCTGGTGATTTCTTAATGCTATTTTCCCTCATCAACACTCTCACCTTTTCAACTTCTTCCCATTTTCCTATATCAGCATAAATATTGGACAACAATACATAGTTACCAGAATTCCAAGGTTCAAGTTTAATAAGTTCCTTAAGTGCACATTCGGCCAGCTCCATTTCACCATGAGTACGACAGGCACTAACCAATGCACCCCATATAGCAGAATTTGGTTCTATTGCCATGGTTTTCACCAGTTTATGAGCCTCCTTTAGACAACCACCACGACCTAAAAGATCAACCATGCATCCATAATGCTCAATTGTTGGCTCTATACCATGACTAGCCATCATAGAATCAAACAAATCTCCCCCTCTTTGGACCAAACCTGCATGGGCACAACATGCTAAAACACCTACAAAAGTTGAATCATTAGGCCTCACACCTTCATCTAACATCTCATCAAACAATTGTACTCCCAATTCACCCTTCCCGTTAAAAGCACAGTTTGATATCGCCGCATTCCAAGAAACAACGTTTTTCCTAGGCATGTCCTTGAATATTGTAAAAGCAGTCTCCAGATCACCAGATTTTCCAAAGAAATCAACCAATGCATTGCCAACGGATACGAGATTGGGATAGAGGCCTTTGGACTTAACATAAGAATGAATCCACCTTCCTAAATCAAGTTCTCCTAATTGAGCACAAACAGGTAACACAGTAACAACAGTAGCTTCATCAGGCTCAAACTCACCATTCCTCATCTCATGGAAAAGTGCCACAGCCTCCTTCTCCCTCCCATTTTGTGCTAACAAGGAAATCATCAAATTCCAAGAAACAACAGTCCTCTCACCCATTTGCCTAAACAGTCCAAGTCCCATATCCACATTTCCACTTTGAGAATAACCCTTGATCATCAAATTCCAAAGAATCACATCTCTGTGAGGCGTTTCATCAAACACCTTCTTCGCATCCATTGTCCTCCCACACCCAGAGTACAACTCAACAATCCCAATCCTTATCGACCCAAATCTGCCAAACCCAAGTGCCAGCACATGCTTATGTACTCCTTGTCCCAGTTCCAAGTCCTCAAGATTAGCACAAGCCTTGAGTAAAGGGGCGAAGGTGAACTCATCAGGCCAAATGCCACGCCGTTTCATAGTAGAAAAGAAGAGGATAGAATTTTGATAAGGGCCACATAAGGAGTAACCTTTAATCATGCAGTTGAAGAGGAAGATGTTGGGATTTTGGAAGTGTTGAAATATGAGGGATGCATAAAGCATTCTGTTAAGGGAGCCGCAGATGGAAATGAAGTGGGAGATGAGCTGGTTAGAGTGGTGAAGTTGGTGGCGAAGGATGTGGGCATGGATTTGAGTGAGTTGGGTTCGAGATTTTTGGCCATGGAGCAGCCGGAGAATGCTCCGCTCAACCTCTCGGCTCCCTCTGCTCATATGAAGAAGGGCAGGCAATAGGATTGAAACTTTGGCGGGAACTGTTCTATTGTTTGAGAAATATATACCCAGTGAAAATGCATATTGTTGGATCTGTTTCTCTTAAACAACCTCACTACCTCACACCTGAGGTAGAATACACATATATATCATGTTATTATTTGATGTATATATCGGAGCGGATAACTTTTTACCCCTTATTATTTGATGTCATTTGATGTATATATCAGAGCTGAGTAAGTTTTTACCCCTCGCTTGTTGATTCATGCTATCTACTAGTCGGTTTGATATTTGAATAATTGAGTTCACCAAAGCTTAAAAAGATGGAAAATGAAAATCATTTCCAATATTGGATAGCAAATTAGCAATGATGCAGAAAGATTTGGACACCTCAATCAGCATTCAGCAATGAACAATTGGAGAGGGCATTTATAATCCAAACCATGGTTACAATCATTCATCCAGAAAATTCTCGAGGCTAGCTTAACAAACATGAGATTGACAAAACTCAACAGCCTGGCTACTAGGGTACATAAAATGGAATTTCTATCTCGCATTTTAGACCCATTTAAAAGCAAAACACGAGCCTCTGGCAGATTACTCCAAACCAAGCTATCTTCGCAAGAGATTCATGGACAAAGGTGATCACTTTTTTGAAGTTTTGAAACCTCCAAATCCCATCATAGCTGCAACATCAGGGTCTATTTCAGGTTCCTCCTCTGAGGCCTTCTCTTTCTGGATATCAATACAGATCATCAAAGTAACCATCAACAAAACTTTGTTAGAGAAAGCACTGCCATGGAAAGGGAAGAGGGGGAAGGGGTAGAGACACAAGTATATGACCAAAATCTGCCTCATGCTACCAGTGTCATAGTCTACCTAGTCATCCAAAAGTAAGCTTCACAGAACTACAAACCTTCTTCTCTTTCTTCTTTTCTCGGCGTAAACGTTTCCTTTCTTCCTCTTCCTGCTGCTGTTTCAGCATTCGCTCATCAAAATCTACAAATGAAATGAAAGATGGTCATAGCAGTTCAATATGTGCATCCTGGTCGTTTTTACTAAGAAAGGAGATGTGAACATTTTTTTTATCACTAACTGAAATGTGATACAGAGGAAAAAGGAAACCGCATCAATCCTTGCTATTACTACATATAAGGTCCTCAACCTATAAAAGTATTAACCATTCACTAAGACGAGACTGATTATCATTTCCTCTTTATTCTAGTAAAATTTCTACCTTGCACAGTAAAGCTTCCTGGATCTTTACGTTTCTTGAGCGCTTCAAATCGTTGTTGGACCTGAAGAATCAAGAAATTTGAAATTATTGAAGGAAAAAAGTTGGAGTTGAAAATGAAATTCAGCCAGATATGTTTATAATCTCGAGTCTAGAACATTGATCAAGAACACTCTGAATCTTTCACTGTGTCCACTTATAGCAAACCCAATATGCAACTTTTTTCTGAAATTACTATGAGGTTTTTCTTTTGGATTTAGTACTTCAGAATTTAGTTGGATTCGCCTAAGAAATGGATATTTCATGTATAAAATTAACTTACCACACAAGTCAAGTCCTTTACTATACATCTTCAAACAAATTTCAACTTCAGTCAAAATTTTCATACTTTCCACACGCTCTATATAGGGGTTTAACTTACTAACATTACCAAAAAAATAATTTTTAAACTAGCAATGTAATTTAACCAGTTATAACATGTCATTTACCCTATTTCCATGTTACCATATTCAGGCTTGCTATAAATAGTTACATGATGTTGTAGGTCAACCTCACCTAATGACAAAGAAGTTGAACTTTTTAAGAATAAAAACAGGACAATCTGCAGGTACTTCGGAACTGAGGGAAAGGAGAAACCCATAGAAAGAAAGAATTAAGCCTGCAACAACAGATCATTAATTCTGTGCCAGAGAACCCATTGAGTCATTGACTGGCCCAGATTATTTGTGTATCCAAAACCATTATACAACAATGTTCGTGATGACAAAAGTAACTCCAGAATACAATGCAGACTCTCAAATTTATTACCTTCTGAAAGAAAAAGTTGCAGACACAATTTTCTCACAGACATGAACAATTTATTGTTTCAAGGTGCCATCTCATCCTTTCTTTCCCTATATGAATTTACAAACTTGAAAACATGTATCCCTGCAAGAGAGGTAGAATTACACTAGAAAAAGGAATTTCTAAAATCTGGACATCAGGTACTCAGGATCTTAACAACAAATTGATTGCACATCAGTCACTTTTGAAGAAAGAATATAAATAGAAATCCTAATTCAATCCCTTTTTTCATTTTAAATTTCTCAAATATCCTAATGTTAGTCCAGCTATTTAGTTCAAGTTTGCTAGTGCGTTGGAATCAACATTTTTAAAGACAAAGTTGAGACTCACCCCAAACTCGCCTTTGGGTGAGGCAGCACTAAAATGCCCTGAGGCAACCATGTGAGCTTTA